TAAGCTGCTAAATTTGTGGTAATTTTTAGACAACAGTAAAACACTAATAAGGTCTTTTGATTAGAGGAGCCCAGTGGATAATGAGAGTCTCCAGTGGATCCTGATCCTGGAATCCCCAGTCACTTATTATGAGAGCTATGTAAGCAGGAAAAGAAGGGCCAGTTTTGGGGGGAGGGATGCATTATTTCTACCTGTCACATATCCTCCAAACCAAGTAACTTAATTTTGCCTTGTTAAATCTAAACTTTGTCATATAGTACTCCTTATTAGTGTAATTTTTAGTAAGAAAGAAAATAACAACCCCACACCTCCTCCTCTTTAATGTTTAAATATTTACATTTCATTTGTTAGTGCTTTTCCATTAATTTTTTTTTTTTTTTTTTTTTGGTTGCACTGGGTGTTAGTTGTGGCAGGCGGGCTCCTTAGTTGCGGCATGCAGACTCTTAGTTAGGGGATGTGCGTGGAATCGAACCCACGCCCCCTGCATTGAGAGCACAGAGTCTTATCCACTGTGCCACCAGGGAAATCCCAGTGCTTTTCCATTAATTTTTAAAATCTAATGAATTACTAGCATCCTAACAACTAACAACTTTATACTACTAATGAGTGATTAGACAGTATACATTATTTAATTTATAATACAATAATTTCATTTTCTCATGATATAAAACAGAAAGTCTTTCCCCAGAAAAATGCCATACCTGGAATAAGTTCTCTTTTTATCCTCCATCTCTGGTTCTTTCTTTATGCTTATCATCATTGTGCTGACAACTAATTCTGAGAAGAAAGTTCCAGAATGACATTCTGGCCATTATGCCCATAGAAATCTCACTATTCCCTGCTGTTTGTGGCCTTCATGTTTATTATGTAGTTAGTTATATAATAAAAGGGTTAAGTTGGTCTTGAGATCATATTGCTCCATCACTGAAGACCTTTGCAAAGAATGTAACCCCCTCCAAAAATAGGCTCCACCTGGATATTTTATTTAATGTAGGCTTAGATGGAAAGTTTCTCTTTCTACTCTATTTATCTTACTAGGATTTTAAAAATATTTCATCTCCTTTCTACCACTACTCCACTGAATTTGTTCTTGTTAAAACTATCCTTGACCTACCTGCCAAGCCAATGGACACTTTTCTATCCTCATCCTTCTCACTTCTCTGCATCATTTGGTACTGTTGACCACTCCCACTTTATTGAGATATGACCCAGCCACTCTCACCTACCTGGCTTTTAGGAAGGGCTGGCTTCATGAGGATGTGACCTGAACGGTGGCACAGGGCCCCATACTCAGGGCCTCATGCTTGGCTCTGCTGTTGCCATCTTGAAATTCTTAATAATTTTTGGACAAGAGATCCCACAGATTATACAGCCAATCCTGTTTTTAGAGCATAATTTTGTTTTGCTTTCTCTGCTGTGATCTACACATTCTTTCCCCATCTCGTTTGTGGCCCCTCTTTTCTGACATGAATACTGGTATTACCACACTTGCTCTTTGTGACTTTTCACATCCTCCCTCGGTAAACTCTAACTACAGTTATTGTTTTTGGACAGCCTCTAAGTCGTTTACCCATACTTCTATGTCTGTCACACAAGCCTGTGAACCTGTCTCCTAAATATTTCTTTCTACTTTTTTTTAAATTTTATTTATTTTATTTGTTTATTTTTGGCAGTGTTGGGTCTTCATTACTGTGCACGGGCTTTCTCTAGTTGTGGCGAGCGGAGGCTACTCTTCATTGCAGTGCACAGGCTTCTCTTTGTGGTGGCTTCTCTTGTTGCAGAGCACAGGCTCTAGGCACGTGGGCTTCAGTAGTTGTGGCACGCAGGTTTCAGTAGTTGTGTCTCGCAGGCTCTAGAGCACAGGCTCAGTAGTTGTGGCCCATGGGCTTAGTTGCTTGGCGGCATGTGGGATCTTCTTGGACCAGGGCTCAAACCTGTGTCCCCTGTATTGGCAGGCAGATTCTTAACCATTGCGCCACAGGGAAGCCGGTATTTCTTTCTGCTTTTTATCTACTGTTATTAATTAAGCCCAGTCATGATTGCAGTATAGACCAGTGCAGTAGTCTTCTAACTCAATTTCCTAACTCCAGTCTTGCCTTCTAATCCATCCACTACCATGATTTTCTCCTGGAATAAACCTTGTCCCATAATCCAACCTTTCTACTACAATGAGCATTCTTTCTAAAATAGTTATATGATTTTACCATATTCCTTAAATTTTTCTATGATTCCCCAGTGCTTTCAAGATAAAAGTTCAAACTCCTTAGAATTAAACACAAAGCTCTCATATTATGAGCTAACACTATCTTTCCAGGTAATTTCTAGCCATATATCCACCAATCTATCTGTTGCTGTGATTGCATTAAGGGTATTTCTTACGTGGTCAGTCTGAATCCATGGCACCAATGTAACACTAGGCACAATATAAATGCTCTAAACATGTTATCTGAACAAATGAATGATATCAGCTTGTTTTAGCGATTTATAGTCAAGATTAGAAAATAGTCAAACCTAGAAAATAAAAATGAATATGATGGTGCAACCAGTTTTTCTAAGTGATTCATAATGTACTTCTTTTATGAGTGTACATCTCACAATAGTTGAGGCTTGCGTTATTAGTTTTCCATCTCAAAGAATTTTTATCTTTGAAATCTTCCTAAAGCTCAACATTGTGATCATAATTGAGACATTCTATCTTTGTGTTTCCATGGCTCTGGGAATTCTACCAGAAATCGCTATTGGAGACAGATTCAACTGTTGTCCAGATAGTAGGCAAGATAAATGCCTCATTGCATCCCTCAAATAAGGATGATAAAAGTATCAGTACCCTTTTTCTCTCTTTCCATTCCCAAGTATCCAATGCCCTCTTTTAGGCTCTAGAATACTGAATTTCTAACATTTTTGCTCATTTACTCTCAAACAGAATTTTACAAAAACAACACTCACACATTTTTAAGTTGATATCCATCTTTTATCAACACTTTAAATAGTTGCAAATGATCTAAGTCAGATGTTTAATAACTCTTTTAGATGTACCCAATGGAAATTATATATGCTAGTAATTTGCTGACCCCATCATCCATTTAAAAACACAGGTACAAGTTCTTGTACATGTACAAGTTTAACAACTGGAAAGTTTATATTATTCATCTCCTTTAACTTTTATTTCCTTTCCACTTTCTCCATAGAATTTTCTCCTAATATTAGTAGTTTATATGCTTGAAAGTTATTTTAATCATATTTCTTGGGAATTCCCTGGCGGTCCAGTGGTTAGGGCTCCGCACTTTCACTGCTGAGGGCCTGGGTGGGGGAACTAAGATCCTGCAAGCCAAGCAGCCAAAAAAAAAAAAAAAAAGTCATATTTCTTTACAATAAAAACATGTGCATACTAAAATTAAACATTTTTAAATTTCTTTTTTATTTCCTCTGACCATAGACTTTAAGTGTTAATTTTTTAAATACAGAGTTATACATTACAAGGATTATGAATTCATAATAGATTAGAAAGACAAAAATAAATGATATATTCTGGTGAATAACTATTAAACAGAATAAGATTTTATGGAAAATGCATTTCTCAGTGAGATTTATAAGGTTTTCTCTCTTTTTATTATTTAGTTATTTATTTATTTTTTTGTGGTACGCGGGCCTCTCACTGTTGTGGCCTCTCCCGTTGTGGAGCACAGGCTCCAGATGTGCAGGCTCAGCGGCCATGGCTCACGGGCCCAGCCGCTCTGCAGCACGTGGGATCCTCCCGGACTGGGGCACGAACCAGTGTCCCCCACATTGGCAGGCGGACTCTCAACCACTGCGCCACCAGGGAAGCCCGATTTATAAGGTTTTTAAAAATTAGTTCATGGATGAATGTTACTGAAAGCTGGAATAAACCAGCATTCTACAAAAAAAATGCATACAAAGAAAAGAGAAACTCTTTACATAAATAAAAGGAGATAGAAAGAGTTTTGATATACAATTCATTTGGTTATTTGAACTTCTTCTAAGGTCATATATTAAGAATTACATAGTGATCTATCATAAAAATTTTTTTAAGTTGTCTAAATACTGAGTATTTAGTACTTAAAATACTTAGTAGCTGAATACGTAAGTAGTTTCTTTTTCTGTTTTGTTGAGAAGCAGAGTTGGAAACCATCCAGCTTGCCGAAGGCTTTGTCACCCACTTATTCGTCATTCAATTTCTCAGTTTGGGGGAACTATATCAAAAAGGTTTTACCAAGACTTATCAAATTACTACTAATGAAATGTCTTACTCCTTCACTGGAGAGGACACTTCTTTAATCCAGCAGGCTCAGAAAGGACTGAGGAAATTACAATATTGTTGACGTCAACAACTTTTCCAATAAAATGTTGTTAAACATTTAAATATCTTTTCATGTACTTTTGATATTTTTTTGTCAAAATTTGGAGCCGCAGATTTAGATTGAAGGACGATATCCACTATATAACACTAGTTGATAGTCCTCACTGTTAAGCCAGTCAGCCCAATGAGATTTTCTATGAGATAAATTCCAACTTCATTTTTTTTAATTTTTGAATTTTAATTTATTTTTTTATACAGCACGTTCTTATTAGTCATCAATTTTATACACATCAGTGTATACATGTCAATCCCAATTTCATTTTTCAATTCAAAAACTTGGTAGTATAGGTGTCCTTGTAACAATAAGCTCAATTCTGCACACTAATTCTAAAATAGATGGAGCGCCGAATGGTGCTGTAACATGAATTTCTTTTGATAATAGATCACAAACAATGTCATGTTCATTGTTTCTTACTAACGTTCTCTTTCCTCGGCTCTCAAGGGGACTGGCTCTCCATTCTGACTTAGTCCAAATAAGGAGTTTTCTTGCACTTTCTTTAGAAGAAGGAACTTTGCTGTAGTAATACAACTCCCAGAATACCTTTCACTTAAGCAATTCCAGAACTGCTGAAAGTCCCGGAGTTGAATTGCGCAATCAAACTCTGAGACAATAACAGTCTATGTTTTCTTTCAAATTCCTACTTCCTGAAACGGAGGCCGTTTATGAGAAACAGTATATTTCAGGGAGGTTGTGCTATAATTAACTTTTTTCAGAGTTAGATTTGCTAGTTTTATCGTGTATTTCCTCTTCTTCGAGATAAAGGTGAGTATCAGCCTTTTAATGACAAAAACTCAGTAGATGTGGGTATAAAAGATGACATAGTTTTTAAGGCAGTATTTTCTTAAATTGTGACCCTGTTTCCACCTGGTGGCCTTCTCTACATTGAAATAACTTTGGAGCTCCAAGAACATTTGCACTTCTGAAAACTCCCCAGAAAGAGAGGGGGAGGGGAGAAGGACCACCTACAGCAGTAAAGTTAGGTTATTAGGAAGAGAAAAGAAACCAGCTTCTTTTTTTTTTTTTTTTTGAATATTTTATTTATTTTTGGATGCGTTGAGTCTTCGTTGCTGTGCGCGGGCTTTCTCTAGTTGCGGTGAGCGGGGGCTACTCTTCGTTGCGGTGCTCCGGCTTCTCATTGCAGTGGCTTCTCTTGTTGCGGATCACGGGCTCTAGGCGCACGGGCTTAGTAGCTGTGGCTCGCAGGCTCTAGAGCTCAGGCTCAGTAGTTGTGGAGCACGGGCTTAGTTGCCCCACGGCACGTGGGATCTTCGCGGACCAGGGCTCGAACCTGTGTCCCCTGCGTTGGCAGGCGGATTCTTAACCACTATGCCACCAGGGAAGTCCCGAAACCCCTTTCTTTTAAAGGCTTAAATAATGGATACTTCCCTGGCGGTCCAGTGGTTAAGACTCCGGGCTTCCACTGCAGGGGGCGCAGGTTCCACCCCTGGTCAGGGAACTAAGATCCCCCACGCCGCGCTGGGCGGCCAAAAAAGAAAAAAAAAAAAAGTTTATATAATAAAGTCCTCAAGTCATGAGACTTGCTAGAACTGCTGCTAGTGAACATCTGGCTTTATTTATCACTGAATCATGATCTTTGATTACAGGAACTGGGATTACTTATTTGAAAAATTAACCTTGGGACGTTTGCCTGGAGTATATAGGTAGTGATAACAGAAACTGTCACTTTTATCATGGCCTCAATAGTTTTGCCAGGAAACAGATAAGGCTGAAAAATTGCTCTTCTCATTTGGGATGAACCCCGAGGGGAATTCTGGATGTGGAGAAGCATTATGTAGAGAGAAAGTATGAAAAATTAAAATCCTTCGTATTTCTATTCAAAAGAGTCCTTTCATTAACCAATTTTAGCATTTAAAATTAGGGGTCCGGATGACTTTTTAAAGCCACAGATTAAAACCTTTAGAATTGTTTGGAATTTGCAGGTGGGTGAGGGCGAAAAGAGAGGCAGGATCAGAAGGGAGGGGACTTTATGTCACAACATAATGGCATCTCTGTTTGCTTCTATCTCCCTCTGCCTTTTCTTTTTACTTAGTGCAGCTAGTACTCTTATGAGAAACAATATTCGGTTTTGGTTGGCTGATGCTTCATTGTTAAGAACATTTTTAATTCTTCACATGTAATCACTGTTGCTGTACAAGTCTATACATGATGCTTCATCATAGTCTCAAGATTCTGTTGTTTCTCCTCTTTCCTCCTTGACCTCGAATTCAAGTGAACCAAAAAGAGTATTAGTAATTATACCACAGAAGCTGTGCACCCCTAGGTCTGAGTGGTGTGTCAGCAGATTACATGACCGTACGGTGTGCATTATTTTGGGTAAGGGTGGGTGTAGGTTAATTTACCGCTTGGATAACACAACAGATGTAAACAAAAGCCAAGTCAAAAAAAAAAAAAAAAAAAAAAAAAAAGCCAAGTCAAGTCTTTATGTCCACTGACCAAAATAATTTACTTCTGTCTTCCCACCTCCTTTGTCCAAATCCTGTCAACCTGCAGCCTCAAAAGAAACAAAACACTTTAAATTATTCTAGCAATAATTTACTCTCCACTTCAAATGTCTTTTTGAGTCTGAGATGAATTCTTCAAGTTCTTCCCCCAACAAGACTCCAAAATTTTATAGCATCCACTTGCATGAGTAGAGAGACAATAACTACTTTAAACTCTAAAATATTATTTTTTGAAGTTAAAAAAAGCTATATGTAAATTGTGATGGATATTATAAAATCTCACATAAAATAATACTGATTTGCACCTGATTTGTTAAGCTGTAACAATCCCCCCTTAAGTGCTATGTGATCTAAGTTTGGGTTTAGAACCTGGAATTTTCCTTAAGAATAAGTGTGTGCATTTCAAAATATTTCTGAAATTCCATGGCTTCTCCCATTCCAAAATTTCACTGACCCCTTTCCCAGAACACAGCACATGTACTATTTTTCTGTCCCTTAATCTTTTGCAGAGAATGACAGCTTTTCAAAATAAAATGTTCATTGTAAATGCTTTTATTTCCTGATATTTTAAGTTCTATGGGTTGAAGAACTTTAACAAGAATGGACATTCAAACTTTTGTTGTAAACTCATTCCATATTTATGGGTTTTTTTAATTTATTTATTTTTGGCTGTGTTGGGTCTTTGTTGCTACGCGAGGGGCTTTCTCTAGTTGCGGTGAGTGGGGGCTGCTCTTTGTTGTGGTGCGCGGGCTTCTCATTGCCGTGGCTTCTCTCGTTGCGGAGCACGGGCTCTAGGCGCACGGGCTTCAGTAGTTGCAGTGCGTGGGCTCAGTAGTTGTGGCTCACAGGCTCTAGAGCACAGGCTCAGTAGTTGTGGTGCACGGTCTTAGTTGCTCCGCAGCATGCGGGATCTTCCCGGACCAGGGATCGAACCCGTGTCCCCTGCATTGGCAGGCGGATTCTCAACCACTGCACCACCAGGGAGGCCCCATATTTATGTTTATTGTATTTGTTGCCGCTCTATATGGGGGACTCTGTTTCTTGTTATTGACAGTGACATCTATTTTCTCAGGATGTTGTGATTTGCTCTGTTTATAGAGTTCAGTGGAGTAGATGAATTTAAAAGTAAGAATATTATCTGATGCTATCATTCTTCTATGTCTGAAGAACAGAAAGAGATGATCATAGCTTAAATATCAGTTACATATTAATATCATTTGCCCAAAGTATGGTATACAAATTACTGTTTTTAGGTGTCACATATCCAAACTGAAAATTTGAGTTGTGCTTAGTTTAATGTGCATTAAAAATATAATTAGCTTTTAAAATGTATGATTTCATGGATATTATTGCCCAGAAAGATGTTAAGTAAAAAAGAAAGTGAGCCACTTTACTATTGATTTTAAGGAAATGATTAAATAACTACTGTTACAGATAATATGCAGATATGGTCAAGATTGTGAAAGTGGCATGTAAATGGCTAAAATTTTGGAAATACTGCTGTAATGTGCTTGAGAAGTGGATATTTTCCGAACCAGTGCAATATCTTTGAACTTCACTGGTCCTTGGTGACAGAGCTCAACTGATAATACAATCTGTTGAAATTCCTAATTATAGATGTACAAAATATAGATAGAGAAATGCTTTATCAAACTTTTATCAGACCTGCGGTCCTCATGAATTGTCATAAAATCGAAGAGATGCAGCATGTAGCTAATATTTTTTGAAATAAGAATCATAGAGAGGGTGAATTATCCCAGAGTAAGCATTGTAGCTCCATTTTGCTGGTTTCATTGAGATACCATTATCTCTGAAGTGGGGTTCAGGTTGGGGCTGAAGGGTGGGAGTTGGGGAGAGCATCATCTAGGTCCAGGGCCATTAACATAACATGGTATGTGCCAGTGACCATTAAAATGGTCATATTGGCAGTTTCTTTTTGGGAATTCATTCTAGGGAGGAAATAATTCTACGTTAAATCCCGTGGAGACCACGTAGCTCCTATGCTAGCAGACCAGGCCGACACTGATCTTCAGTTACTTGCTGCTGAATTTTGAGAGGTGGAAATAGCATTACAGAATCGTAGAGTTGGAAAGGACTTTAGAGACCTTAGCAACCCCCCCTAATTTTATTAAAAAAATTTTTTTCTTTTCTTAACATTAAAAAAAATGATTTTGTATTGGAGTATAGTTGATTTACAATAGTTTGTTAGTTTCAGGTGTACAGCAAAGTGATTTAGTTATACATATACTTACATCTATTCTTTTTCAGATTCTTTTCCCATATAGGATATTACAGAGTATTGAATAGGTCCCTGTTGATTAACTATTTTATGTATAGTAGTGTATATATGTTAATCCCAACCTCCTAATTTATCCCTCCCCCCACCTTTCCCCTTTGGTAATCATAAGTTTGTTTTCTAAGTCTGTGAGTCTGTTTCTGTTTTATAAATAAGTTCATTTGTATAATTTTTTAGATTCCACGTGTAAGTGATATCATACAATATTTATCTTTCTCTGTCTGACTTACTTCACTTAGTATGATAATCTCTAAAACCCCCCTAATTTTAGAGGTGAGTAAATTGAGGTCTAGCAGGGAAAGGTGATTTGCCTAAATTCATACAATTGGTTTGTGACAGCGCCAGAATTAGAACCCAGGTATCCTAATGCGTGATGAATAGAAAGAGCCTGGGAGCAAGAGACTTACTGTGTGGCTGGGATCCAACATGAAGTGAACAGATCACAGAGTTCAGGGAATTCATGAACAGGCAGTATCTAAAAGTCTAAGAAGCCATGAAAGCAGGTCTCTCTCCTACTCACCATAAATGACAATCTGTTCACCAATGCTAAATATAGTTAATAATAAGTATCCATTATTCATTAATGCATATTTATTGAGCATATTCTGTACAGTAGTCCCCCTTTATCTATGATTTTGCTTTCCATGGTTTTAGTTACTCTCCATCCGGAAATATTAAATGAAAATTTTCAGAAGTAAACAATTCCTAAGTTTTAAATTGCCCACCCTTCTGAGTAGCGTGATGAAATCTCGCGCTGTCTGGCTGGGGCGTGAATAGCGTGGATCGTCTGTTTGTGGAGTGTAGCCGCCCATTAGTTACCTAGCGGCCATCTTGGTTATCAGACCGACGGTGGCGGTATATGATAGGCAGGCGCTGCGTTCAAGTCACCATGATTTTACTGAACAGTGGCCCTAAAAAGCCAGAGTAATGGGCTTCCCTGGTGGCGCAGTGGTTGAGAGTCCGCCTGCCGATGCAGGGGACACGAGTTCGCGCCCCGGTCCGCG